AAATGCGTACAGAGGACAGTGATAGGCGTGCTACTTCTCCAGCTGGCCTACATGTGGTGTGGGGCAGCATGTGACAGTCAAGAGGACATCAAGGGACAAGTGGCATGTGGGCCAGCCATTAGAGAAGGACTTGAGCTTAGTTAGAAAGATTCTGGGGTCATTGGGGTGGGACAAGGGCCCAGAGGCTGAGCCTTCTCACCTCTCAGCAGCATGAGGAGCTCAGATGTGCTTCAGAAGGCAGGGACGTGAGGGCCAGGCAGCCAGACAGGAGCCCAGGTAGAGAGGCTGGCCATGAGTACTGCCTCTGTCCAGGCACCCCCATGATCCTCCTGCGGGCAGTTGTGAATGGGCAGCCCAAGTCACAGCTCCAAGCCAGGAGCAACCGTCTGTCCTGTGGAGCTTGCTCTGTGCTGGGCATCAGGCAGTGGGCACCGAGAATTCAATGGTAGGGTTTAGGAGGAGCTACAGGAAGCAGGGTCTGAAACCTGCAGTTTGAGTAGGACTTGGTCAGGTGAACAGGGTGGGAATATGTCCTAGGCAGAGGTGACAGCCTGATCAAAGACCCAGAAGCAAAGCGGGAACAGGAGCGTTAAGAGAGGTGGCAGGAGCCAAAGTCTTAAGGACTCATAGGGCAGGGTAGGGAGTTTAGATTTTGCCTGTTGGGTGTCAGGGACTGACTGGCTGCACTGAGGATTCAGGGCCCTGCAGGACACCATGTTTGGTCTGCATTGCCCTTGGGTAGGAGATGTACAAGCTCTGGCTCCCCGTCTTCCTTGTGCCGAGTGTGTAGGATGTGTGGTGACCCAAGCTGTTAGAACAGGAACTGGAAGCAGGAGCTCCTCCACTTGGTTCTTACCCCAGGTCAGAGCTGAGCCGCTCTGGCTGGTGGGCCCAGGCTGGACTTTTCCACAGGCCCCCAACCCCCAACCTGTGTAACCTTGGCTCACAGCAGTCTTGGCTCACATGAATTGTTACATGCTACGCAGGGGTAGTGAGTGGATCTGGGCCCAGGTCTGGCCCCATTGCCCTGTGTTCACTGGCGTGCTTCTGACTGGTACTTGGGGAGCTGTGTGTATTCAAGCTGCTGCTCCTGGAAAGCTCTCCTGGGCTCTGGAACATGGGTCACCATCAGCACAGAACACTCAGAGGCTTTTTCAGCAGTTTCTCATCATGTGCCTGTAAAACCCATAAGCAGGTTCAGCACCATTTTCTTTTCTTGTGGAGATGAAGTGCTTCTCAGTGTAGCTCTTCCCGAAAGCCTCGGAGGTCTCAGGCCATTGATAGCTCATTCTTGTCCTGTCTTAGGCCCACCTGTGGGTCTGGTCTGGCATTGAGTGCAGCCCCAAGCAGCTGGAGGAGGGAGAGGGAAGAGTGAACAGAGCTGTGACAGACAGACTGACAAAGCCATTTGCAGTGTCTGGGGCCCCATGACGACTGTGGGTTTCCTTTGCAGTGCTCTGGCATCCGTTGTCAGAGGCCCTGCAGCTGGACCCAGGGGTGAGATTGCCTTCAAGAGTTCATTATTACTCCCTGTGGGGACTTGGCCCATAGGTCAGCCTTTGGAAAAGATGGCGTCTTTCATCTTCCCTCACCATGAGGAAGATTGAACCTGCTTCCACCTGAGGGTCAGGAGCTACATGATGACGAATAGGGTTGGAGTAGAAGAGACGAGAGGAAGTGGCTGAGGCTCAGGCCGGCTCAGAGTTGCAGGCGGTGAAATGCTGTTGGAATCTGAGAGCTTGAACCCTCACCATGAGCTTCCAGAACTGAACTATGAGTGTGTGTGAGGGCGGGGTCGGAGGTCAGAGGATGCAGAGGCTAGATTACGGATCCTGAAGGCCAGGCAGAAGTGGCCAGGGCAGGAAGCAGTGTCTTATACCAGACCACCCCTTCCTGATGGGGCCCTTCTCCTCCCTGCCTTCCTGTAGGACTCCTGGTCTCTGCTGTATTATGGTTCAGGCCAGTCACCTGTGAGGAGGGATCTCTGTGTCTTGAGATCCAGGCCTTGTTTTGGGAGCAGCTGTGGAAGTAGGCCATGCAGGTAGACACCTGGTGTTCCCTCAGCATGGTTGAGGAAGAAAGAGTAAGTATTTGGTTTTGAAGTCAGACAAGACTTGCTCTCAACATAATCACTGTGTGACCATAGACAAGTTACTTAGCTCCTCTGAGCTTTATAAAGTGGTTGGAAGTTAAATCTATGCAAAGCATTTAGGACCTGTCTGGCACAAGTGCTTTATTATTAATTGCTAGTATCATCATTATTACTGTTTGTGCTCTGCTTCACCTCACTCCCTAAACAATGGCTTGTTTGGATGGAGGGGGGTTCCCAGGCCTAGATGGCCATACCCCTGGCACACTCAGTCCTCCAGTGGGAGTGATGGGGACCTTGGTAGCTTCTGGAGTGATTCAGCTTTCCCCATACCGTTCCCCTTAAGTTCCTCTGAGCAGGTCCCCGTTCAGTTGACGACCCTGTTGTGGGGCCCCTAATGATGGCTCTCTTTAATGTACAAGGTTGGAGGCAAATGAGCTGAGTCCACTGGGATGAGGGAGCTACAGCCCAGTCTGGAATCCCTCTTCACAGGATCCCCATCTTCTTCCTCAAACCTGGCAGAGCCCAATCCTCAGAGTCAGGTGCAGAGCAGCTGTTCCGTGTGTAACATCACGTGCACCCAGGCCATCCCTTCCTTCAGGCTTACTTGGCGGTGGCGGTGGCGGTGGCGGTGGTGGTGGCCGTGGGGCTGTGACAGGGGAGGTGTCTGTGTACAGTGTTAGGACACCTGGTGTACAAGCACCTGAAGGGCTTCCAGGCCTCTAGAGGACCTGCCACACTCCCCCTCCTACACATTCTTCTTCCCTCTGTCTCTCTCTCAGCTGCAGACACAGCCTTGTAGTGTGATCTGCTTGATGCTCCTGTGGAGGACTAGGTTTCTGCAGCCTGGGACACCTGCAGCTTCCAGATGGTACCTTGACTTCAGTCTGGGGGCTCGTTTTTCGATTTCTAATCTGAACGGTGTTTTGTTCTGTTGTACATAGGGTCACTATGAGTCAGTACTGACTCGATGGCACCTAACAACAACAACAACAATCTGAATTGGGTTGGCTGTCAGGATGAGGGATTAAAAGCAAAAGAAAGGGGTTTGAGTGTCCAAATGCTAACCTTTGTGCTGGGGGTCAGGGGAATTTAAAGGCTCTCCTTATCTGTCCCCCTCAACTTCAGTGTATGCAGACAAAGGGCACAAACTATCAAGCTTTCCCTCTTACTTCAGGGCCCAGAGCCGAGGGAGGAATGGACGAGGAAGTTCCTCCCCTTCTGGGTGCTGGGTGAAAGTGAAAGATAGGGAGGGGGCCTGGAATGAGTCACTGAGCGAGCTCCCGGAATAGAAGGGCTGGGAACCTAGGATGCGTGCAGAGGAGGGACAGAACCCAGGCCTTGGGAAAGGGCCGGCACTCGTTGGTGCTGGTGTGAGGGGTGTCACTGGGTGGCTGTGTACAGACTGTTCTCCTCTGCTCTGGTTCCTGGGAGGACCTGCAACTGCCAGGGCTTGAGGCCTGTCAGGATTTCTCTGCTGGAGCCCGTGTCTCTTCCCTTCCTCTTCTACCCTGACTGACCCAGGACCAAAATCCTAGTGAGGAGAAGTGGGTCATAGAACCCCCACCTCGACCCAGGGAGGGAGAAAAAAGATCTCAGAAGCAAAAGAAAGCCACTTAAAATACATGCTGTTACAGGTCTTGAGTCTATCTTTTTTGGGGCAGAGTGTAGTTAAGTGCCATCGAGTTGGTTCCAACCCATAGCAACCCTGTATAGGGTTTCTGAGGAGCAGCTGGTGAGCTTGAACTGCCAACCAAGCAGTTCAAACAGCTTTGCAGTGTGGTGCACAGTGGGGGCAGGCCTTTTTTTAAAATCAAGTTAGAAAACTATGAGCACTTCAGTCATGCCATATCCTGGAGAAATCTGGTCCAAGCACCGCAGTCTACACTCCAGGCAGGGTCTTAGCTATCCTACTCCTGGTCTTAGGGCGCCTGGGGCTCGGGGCTCTTTGGCAGTGGGGGAGAGGGGAGTAAGGGGAGGCTGCTGGCCTGCTTGGGGCTGGATCTTGCCTCCAGCTGGGGCTGCAAAACAGGTTCTATGCTAGTGTGGGGAAGGCTCTGACAGCCCCACAGCCCGACCCAGCTGCCCCTCCCAGGGGTGGGGCTGGGACTGCACACTCCCTCCTTGGGGCCTCTATTACAAGCCACAGTGAAGAGGTCTGCTGGCCTAGCCCAGGGAGGGTCTCTGTGAGGGCCAGGTAGCAAGCACTCCCAACCTTGGGGTATGCAGGAAGGCCCTGCAAGGAATGATCTCTGTTCTCATCAGTTCTTGTGTTTGAGCATCAGAAGAGGTGTGGCCAAAGAAATATCCTGCTGGATCCAGTGGGGAGGTTACTGTGTGGACAGATGGCACCGGAGGGCCAGGCCTGGCTGCTCGGTTAAGAGGGGACAGGGGGCTTCAATGCTTTGTCATCTTTCTCCTATCTTGGCTAATGGGCCTTACCTGCATCTCAGTTCCACTTGTCCCTTGGTAGGTGCTTTTGAGCACAAATGACCCAACCAAATGCATTGATCTTGGAGCCTGCCAAGGTGGGTGAGGTAGTGAGAGAAGAAGAGAGTCCCAGAGTGCCTTGGGAGATGCTGTCCACCAGGGGTCAAGGCCCGGTCCTCACTGCGTACTGACCTCAGGGTTCCCTTGGGAAGCTATGGCTGACACTTGCTGCTCTTCTCTCTGCAGACTCCAGGTTTTCGTGGAGAAACATCATGATCTGGGAGGAGTAGAGAAGCCCGGAACCTCTGTGAAGAGGAAGGAACAGCCAGCCATTCTTCCTCCTTGGGCCTGACTGTGTAATCCAGCCTCTTCCTCAGCCCCTGCTCTGCCCCCACTGGCTCCCAGGCTTCCAGCAGGACCTTTCCTTGGGGGGATGGGCAACTGGTGAAGCAAGTTTGACTCCCAGGGCCCAGCTGGCCACACCATGAACCTCCAGGCCCAGCCCAAGGCTCAGAGCAAGCGGAAGCGTTGCCTCTTCTTCGGAGACCCGGAGTCAGCTCCCAAGGAGCAGGCCCCTCAGCAGCCCCTGGCCCCTCCACAGCCCACCAGAGTGAAGGAGGAGCCATACTTTGGACACGAGGGTCCTTCCGGAGGCATTCCCACCTCTCAGCCTGTGGAACTCCCCCCGCCCAACAGCCTGGCCCTGCTGAACTCTGTGGTATATGGGCCTGAGCGGACCACGGCAGCCATGTTGTCCCAACAGGTGGGCTCAGTCAAGTGGCCCAACTCGGTGATGGCTCCGGGGCGCGGTCCAGAGCGTGGAGGCGGTGGGGGTGTCAATGACAGCGGCTGGCAGCAGCAGCCTGGCCAGCCTCCCCCCCACGCCACATGGAACCGCCACAGCCTGCCTCTCTACAGTGGACCCAAGGGGAGCACGCATCCTGGTGTAGGGGTCACCACCTACTATAACCATCCAGAGGCACTGAAGCGCGAAAAAGGGGGCGGCCAACAGCTGGACCGCTACAGGAACGCGGTGCAGCCAATGATGCCTCAGAAAGTGCAGCTGGAGGTAGGGCGTCCACAAGCCCCACCCCTCAACTCCTTCCATGTGGCCAAGAAGCCCCCAAACCAGACACTGCCCTTGCAGCCCTTCCAGCTGGCATTTGGTCATCAGGTGAACCGGCAGGTCTTTCGGCAGGGTCCACCTCCCCCAAACCCCGCCGCTGCCTACCCCCCACCGCAACAGCAGCAGGCGGCAACCCTGCCCCAGATGCAGCTCTTTGAAAACTTCTACCCAATGCAACAGCCACCCTCCCAGCCACCGCAAGACTTTGGCCTGCAACCTCCTGGGCCTCTGGGGCAGCCCCACCTGGCTCACCACAGTATGTCCTACCCCTTCCCCCACAACCCTGATATGAACCCAGAACTGCGCAAGGCTCTCCTGCAGGAGTCGGGCCCACAGTCTGTGCTACCTCAGGCCCAAATCGCCTTCCCCCGCCGCTCCCGCCGCCTCTCAAAGGAGGGGGTCCTGCCGCCCACTGCCTTGGATGGGGCTGGAACCCAACCCGGGCAGGAGCCTGCTGGCAACCTGTTCCTACATCACTGGCCCCCACAGCAGCCGCCATCCGGCCCCCTGGGGCAGCCACATCCTGAAGCCCTGGGGTTCCCTCTGGAGCTGAGAGAGTCACAATTGCTGCCCGATGGGGAGAGACTGGCACCCAATGGTCGGGAGCGAGAGGCTCCTTCCATGGGCACCGAGGAGGGTATGCGGGCAATGGGCACCGGGGACTACGGACAGGTGCTACGAGGTGGGGTGATCCAGAGCACACGCCGGAGGCGTCGGGCATCCCAGGAGGCCAATTTGCTGACACTGGCTCAGAAGGCAGTGGAGCTGGCCTCCATGCAGAATGCAAAGGTGAGAGTGGTGGAGGGAGTGGGGGGGGGAGGGGCAATGGTGTCTGGGGGGCAGAAAGAGGGTAAGTAAGGGATTCCAGAGCCCACAGGACAGTTTTTTCCAATTCAGTGCAGGAGATGAGCCCCTACGTTTCATGGACTTCTGAGTTCCTTGCAGGCAAAGGACCCCTACCTCAGAGCAAGCTGAGGTTTATACATGCCAAAGGGTCCACAGGTCAGAATGTGGGAGATTCCATTGTGGATTGGCCTCTTCATAGGGGCCTTGAAGGAATAGGAGGAGGGGAAACCATTTCCAGTCTAGCCTGCTGAAAGACAAAAATGTGGTGATTGCATAAAACATGTTTGTTGTTAAGTGCCGTTAAGTCGCTTCCAACTCATAGTGACCCTGTATAGGGTTTCTAAAGGAGCTCTGGTAGCGTAGTGGTTACGAATCGGGCTGTGGGCTATAAGGTCAGCAGTTCGAAACTACCAGCCATTCTATGGGAGAAAGATGAGGCTTTCTCCTCCCATGATTTACAGCCTCAGAAACCCTATGCAGAGTCACTATGAGTCAGAACCGACTCGAGGGCACATCACTACCACCGTAGCTTATTTTATTTAAATTATATAACTGTAATAGTTTTGTTAACTTTTTTAAACAAAAAGAAATGGGGAGGGAGGATTTCAAAAACTATTTGATCATAAATGATCATCCTCAAATCCTGTGAAAAGGGTGCTGTTGTTTCATAGCTAAAGAAATTGAGGCCCAACTGTACTTCTCAAGGTCACATGGCTGGGATGGAAGCCAGTGTTTGTGCCTTCCTTCACTAGAAGTCTCAACCCTTGATGCCCACAGGACCAGGCACATGCGTAGGAGGCTGCAGAATTTGTCCTCTCATTGGGGACAGCAAGACTTCACTCTAGCCGGTTGTCCATACAGGCCGTAGATACAAAGGCAGCAACATGTTCCATGTTTACGTTTTGCAGCCAGAGATGTATTTTCGATGGCTTGGATACTATTTTGTGTGCCACCCACTGTGCAGGCCAAACAGAGTACATTCGATTGTGGCCTGAGATGGCCATCTGGGGACTCCTGCTCTAGGCCTGTGTCGGAGGACTTGACAGAAGGGAGGCTATAGAGTGTTTGGTGTCAAACATTCATGGGTATCTGTGTCCCTCGGTTAAATGGGCTGGGGTCCTGGTCCAGCCAATCAGGACTTAACGTTCTAAACCTCACCTCTGTTGCCTCCACTCTTCTCCAGGATGCCAATGGCTCCGAGGAGAAGAGGAAAAGTGTGTTGACCTCAACTACCAAGTGTGGGGTGGAGTTTTCTGAGCCTGCCTTAGCTGCCAAGCGAGTACGAGAAGACAGCGGGATGGTGCCCCTCATCATCCCAGTGTCTGTACCTGTGCGGACTGTAGACCCATCTGAAGTGGCCCAGGCAGGAGGTGGTGAAGAGGATGGGCAGGGTCCTGACCAGAACCCTACTGAACACAAGCCGTCAGTCATTGTCACCCGCAGGCGTTCCACCCGTATCCCTGGGACTGATGCCCCAGCTCAGGTAGGAGAGGCCCCCATCCAGACACCTCCAGGACCTGTATGATCCTGGGGGCTTAGGATCTCATAGGACAAAGAGAATGTGGCAGTGTGGGAGGGTTTGAAGGAACCTGAGGGCATGCAATCTTGTTTATATTTTCAAATGAACTTAACAAATGCATTTAGTGGGGGAACAATTAAACATTTTCGTACTTGAACTTGGGACTGCTGTTGATCTCTTTCATTACAGATAAACAAATTTTGATTGGGTTCCTGTAACAGAGCTAGGCATTGGGATTAAGAAATAGGTATTTGTTCTTTTAGTACTGTGAGAGGAATGTTGAAATCTCTAAGACTAGTTTTGGCTATTTCTTTTAGCTTGGCAATATTTATTTTATATATTGTGAGGTACATACTCACTTAGAATTGTATTAGATATTTTCTCATTAGGATTTTTTTAAGGGTAGAAAGTTTGCTGTGGTGCTGTAGGATCAGCATTGGACTGCTAACTACAAAGTTGGTGGTTCCAACCCACAGCCGTTCCTTGGAAACCTTATGCAGGGTCGCTGTGAGACAGAACTGACTTGATGGCACTTAACAACAACTGTAAGATAAGCACTGAACTGCTAATCACGAAGTTGGCGGTTCAAATCCACTAGTCCCTCCTCAAAAACTCTATACAGGGTTGCTATGAGCCAGAACTGACTTGATGGCCCTTAACCACAGCAGTAATCTTTTTTACCTTTTAAAAGTGTACATTGTCTGACATTAATACAATTACACCAGCTTTCTTTTAGGCAGTGTTTGCAGGGTATCTTTTTCCCACGTTTTACTTTCCACCTGACCTGTCTCTATAGTTTAATTCAAGGCTCATCTTTCAAGTGGCAGATACTTGAGGTTTCTTATTAGTCCGTCTAACAGTTGTTTTTTTCAATTAGATCATTAATACAGTTTATATTAAATATGGACCAAGAGGCAGTTGTTTAAACAGAACATGGGAACACTGAATGGTTTAAAATTAGGAAAGCTGTGTGACAGGTTGTATTCTCTTACTATACTTATTCAACCTGTATGCTGAGCAGATCATCTGAGAAGCTGGGTTATAAGAAGAAAAACGTGGCATCAGGATTGGAGGAAGACTCATTAACAACCTGCGACATGCAGATGATACAGCCTTGCTTGCTGAAAGTGAAGAGGACTTAAAATATTTACTGATGAAGGTCAAAGAGCACAGCCTTCGGTATGGATTACATCTCAATGTCAAGAAAACAAAAATCCTTACCACTGGACCAATAAACAACATTCTTATCAATGGAGAAAAGTTTGAAGTTGTCAAGGACTTCATTCGTCTTGGATCAACTATCAACACTCACGGAAGCAGCAGTCTAGAAATCAAATGACGTATTGCATTAGGCAAAACTGCTGCACAAGACCTTTTTAAAGTGTTGAAGAGCAAAGGTGTCAGCTTGAGGACTAGGATGTGCCTCACCCAAGCCATGGAATTTTCTGTAACCTTATATGCATGCGAAAGCTGGAGAATGAGTAAGGAAGACCAAAGAAGAACTGATGCTTTTGAGTTCTGGTGTTGGAGGAGAATATTGAAAGTGCCATGGGTTGCCAAAAGAACCAACAGATCTGTGTTGGAAGAAGTGCAGCCAGAGTGCTCCTTTGGAGGTCATGATGGCCAAACTTTGTCTCTCATACTTTGGACATATTGTCAGGAGGGACCAGTCGCTGGAGAAGGATATCATGTTTGGTAAGGGGGAGGGTCAGAGAAAAAGAGGAAGACCCCTAGCGAGATGGATTGGCAGAGTGGCAGCATCAGTGGGCTGAAGTGTGGCAACGATAGTGAGGTTGGCCCAGGATCAGGCAGTGTTTCGTTCTGCTGTGCATAAGGTAGCTATGAGTCGGTACCAATTCGACAACAACAGCAACTGTAAATATAACTACTGACATGTCAACTGAAGCTGATTCGAACTCAGTGCCACCCTGTAGGACAGAGTAGAACTGTCCCATTGGGTTTCCAAGGCTGTAAGTCTTTATGGAAGCAAACTGCTACATCTTTCTCCTGAGGAGTGGCTGGTGGTTTTGAACTGAGAAACTTTTGGTTATTAGATGAGCACCACTGTTGTTGTTAAGTGCTGTTGAGTGGACTCCGATCCATAGCAACCCTGTATAGGATTTCTGAAGAGCAGCTGGTGAGCTTGAACAGCCAACTTTGCAGTTCAAATGGCTTTGCAGTCTGGCTCATTAACCCACACCAGGACACCATAGCACCGCTGGTGGTGGTTACGTGCCATGGAGTCGGTTCCTATGTGGCTCATAGCAGTTGTTGTTATGTGCTGTGGAGTCGGTTCCAACTCATATCGACCCTGTAGAGGGTTTTTGAGACTGTAAATCTTTACAGGGGCAGAAAGCCTCATCTTTGTTTCGTGGAACAGCTGGTAGTGTTGATTGGCTGACTGAGGTTAGCAGCCCAATTTGTAACCATTATACTGCCAGAGCTCCTTTGGACTCCTTAAATACTAATAGGTTGTTGTTAAGTGCCGTCATGTCAGTTCTGACTCATTATGACCCTGTTTCAGTTTCTGAAGCAATTAGCCTTTATGGCAACAGAAGGCCTCATTTTTCTCCTGCTGAGCAGCTGGTGGGCTCGAACTGCTAACGTTGTGGTTTGCAGGCCAGTGTTTATCCTACAGAGCCACCGTGTTCCCAATTACTGGTATATTTGGGTTTAAATCTGCAATCTACTGTTTGCTTTCTGTTTATCCGACTCTGCCTCCACTATATTCTTTTTTCTCCTTTTTATTTCCTTTGGATTGACTGGGTTGTTATTCCATTTCCTCCACTTAATAACTTATTAATGTACACTCATTTGTAATACTTTCAGAGATTACCCTTCCAGCCTTGTTTATCTGCTTTTCAACAGAAAGTGATTTGAGTAACAGAAAGTGATTTGAGTAACTATTTTCTCAAGTCTTCAAAGGATGGTATATAGCTAGTATCATTCTAATTGTATAGACGACAACTCATTATCCACAGTGGCATTGTACATAATGATATTAGAGCTTAACTGGTGGAAAAAGCTGCTAAAGATTAAAACATGCATACTTAATGAAATTTAATCATTTTATCTCTTCCTAGACAATGCAAGTCTCTTAAAGCACTTTAACTCCATTTTCTACCTATACCCCTCAACTTATACAATTACTGACTTGCATTTTCATCCTTTGTATATCTTAACATCACAAGACATCATATTGTTGGTTTCTTCAGTTGATACTCATTTTGGATGTATGCAACTGTACTTTTCGTTGCTTTTCTTTTCTTAAATCTCCAAGCTTCCATTTTGTATCATTTATATGCTACTTGAAGAACACCCTTTAGTATTTCCTGTAGTATGAGTCAGCTAGTGATGAATATTATTTATCTGTGATTGTCTGAAAATGTTTTTATTTCACTGACATTTTTTAAGAATAATAATTTTGCTAGGTAGAGAATGCTAGGTTGACAGCTATTTTGACACTTTGAATATTTCGCTGTCTTCAGGCTTTCAGTATTCTTATAGTTGACGAAATCGCTAGACTTTTGAATATAAAGTCTCTTTTTATCTTGCTACTCATAGCATTTTTTTCCTTTGTCTTTGATTTTCAGCTGTTTTATTATGATGCTCTGGTAGTGTAGTGGTTATGAGTTGGGCTACTAACCTCCCGGTCAGCAGTTCAAAACTACCAGAAGTTCCACAGGAGAAAGATGAGGCTTTCTGCTCCGATAAAGATTTATAGCCTCGGAAACCCTGTGTAGGGTTGCTATGAGTTGGAGCAGACTCCAGGCACACCACCACCACCACCACCATACCTAGACACTAGACTGCTAACCACAAGAATGGCAGTTCAAACCGCCCCCCAGCTACTCCTCAGAAACCTTACACTGGGTAACTGTGAGTTGGAACCGACTCAGCACTTAACAACAGCAGTAGCATACCCTAAATGTGATTTTTTGTTGTTATCCTATTTGGAATTTGTGGTGCTTCTTGAATACTACTTCTGCGTCTCGTCTAATTCTGTGTTAGAATTTTTCTTCATATCCCTTATTTTATGTTTGCCATGTTATAGTCTGTATTTCCGTGGTTTTTTTTTTCAGTCTGATCTATCTTTTCATCAATTTTGTCTCAAGCTGTATCTAATCTGTTGAATCTATTCATTGAGTTCTTATCTTTAGTTAATGCTTTTTAATTACAGAATTTCCACTTGGTTCATTGTTAGAGTTTCTAGTTCTTTGATAAAATTCTCAACTTGCCTTTTATTTCATTGAAAATTTTAAGCATAATTATCTGAAAGTTTATGTGTAATAATTCCATTAATAGCAACCCCTGTGAGTCTGAGGGGGTTTCAGAAAGTTGATGGAAAAATTCCATTATCTTTCAATTCCATTTTTTCACAGACTTTTTGGAGCCCTTTTATTTCTATAACTATTATGTCTCTTGTTTTAAAATCACATCTTATCTTCTTGTATAACTGGTTATTTTTTACTGAATACCAGGCGCATACACACACACTCATTCTCTCTCTCTCAAAAAAAAAAAAATATATGTGTGTGTATATATATATATAGTTGTTTGTTGTTGTTAGGTACCATCGAGTCGGTACTGACTCATAGCGACCCTATGCACAATGGAACGAAACACTGCACAATTCTGGGCCAACCTCACAATTGTTGCCACACTTGAGCCCATTGATGCTGCCACTTTACCAATCCATCTTTCTGGGGGTCTTATCTTTTTCTCTGACCCTCCACCTTACCAAACATGTTACCCTTCTCCAGCGACTGGTTCCTCCTGACAATATGTCCAAAGTATGAGACATGTATATATCTATACATTTGTTGTTGTTGTTGTTGTTAGGTGCCATTGAGTCATTACTGACTCATAGCGACCTTATGTACAGCAGAAGGAAACACTGCCCGATCCTGGGCCAACCTCACTATCCTTGCCATGCTAGAGCCCATTGATGCTGCCACTATGCC